TTTTAAGCATTTTAGAAATTTTACATCATTTTGGGTATTTTGAGTATTTTGGGGCACTTTTGGCATTTCGGGTGATTTTAGGGCATGTTATGGGTTTTGACGCGTTTAAGCCGTGGATGACATTTTTTGTGACTTTAAACATTTTGGGACGTTTTACAAGATTTTCGTCAGCTTAGGGTTTTGGGGGCATTTTTGGCATTTCGGGTGATTTTAGGGCATGTTATGGATTTTGTCGCGTTTTAGCCATTTTTGTGCATTTTAGGTATTTAATATTTTAGGCATGTTGAGTGTTTTGAGCAATTTTTGGGATTTTGGGTGATTTTTGGGCATGTTATGGGTTTTAGCACGTTTTAATCCTTATTTGCACATTTGATGTATTTAATTAACAGAAGTTTAGATCATTTTAGGCATTTTGGGGCATTTTAGACATTTTACATCATATTGGTTATTTTGAGTACTTTGGGGAATTTTTGGCATTTCGGATGATTTTAGGGCTTGTTATGGACTTTGGCGCGTTAAAGCCATTAATGACATTTTATGCCATTTTAAACATTTTGGGACGTTTTACATGAATTTGGGCATCTTAGATATCTTGGGGCATTTTTGGCATTTCAGGTGATTTTAGGGCATGTTATGGATTTTGGCGCGTTTAAGCCATTTTAGCGCAGTTTAGGTATTTAATGGCATTTTAGGTAATTTTCAGCATTTTAGAAATTTTACATCACTTAAGGCATGTTGAGTATCTCGGGGTATTTTTGGCATTTTGGGTGACTCTAGGGCATGTCATGGATTTTGGCGTTTTTTAACCATTTTTGTGCATTTTAGGTAGTTAATGGCATTTTAGGTAATTTTAAGCATTTTAGAAATTTTACATCATTTTAGGCAAGTTGAGTGTTTTGGGGCATTTTTGGCATTTTTAATTCATTTTTAGCATTTTAGTGTGTTTAAGAATTTTTTGCTGATTTTGTGCATTTTATTCACATTGGGTGATTTAACAGACTTCAGGCTATTTTAGACATTTTACATCATTTTGAGGAATTTGGGGCATTTTGGGCATTTTCGGTGATTTTAGGCATGTTATGGATTTTGGCGTGTTTAAGCCATTGATGATATTTTGTGCCATTTTAAACATTTTTAGACGTTTTACAAGATCTTAGGTACCTTAGGTATTTCGGGGAATTTTTGGCATTTTGGGTGATTTTAGGGTATGTTATGGTTTTTAGCGCGTTTTAGCCATTTTTGCGGCTTTCAGGCATTTAACAGCATTTTAGCTTTTTGGGTAATTTTAGGCATTTTGGGGCATTTTAGATATTTTACCTCATATTGGGATTTTGAGTATTTTGGGGCATTTTTGGCATTTCGGGTGATTTTAGGGCATGTCATGGATTTTGGCGCTTTTTAGTTTATTCTCCGCACATTTGGTAGTAATGTATTTTAGGCAATATTAGCATTTTGGGCCATTTCGGGACATTTTACAGCATTTTGAGTATTTTAATGCATTGTTGCGTTTTTTGTGTGTTTAGGTATTTTGTGCTGATTTAGTGCATTTTAGGCACATTGGGTTATTTAACAGACTTTAGGCCATTTTAGCCATTTTGGCATGTTTTAGGCATTTTGGGCGATTTTAGGGCATTTTTCGGCTTTTGGTGCGTTTCAGCCATTTTAAGCGTTTTGAGACATTTTGCAAGATTTTGAGCATCTTAGGTATTTTGGGGCATTTTTGGCATTTTGGGTGATTTTAGAGCATGTTATAGATTCTAGCGCGTTTTAGCTATTTTTGCGCATTTTTGGTATTTGACAGCATTTTAGGTAATTTTAGGCATTTTGGGGCATTTTAGGCATTTTACATTTTTGGCATGTTGAGTATTTTGGGGCATTTTTGGCATGACAGGTGATTTTAGGGCATGTTATGGATTTTGGCGCATTTTAACAATTTTGGTGCATTTTAGGTATTTAATGGCATTTTAGGTAATTTTAAGCATTTTAGAAATTTTACATCATTTTAGGCAAGTTGAGTGTTTTGGGGCATTTTTGGCATTTTTAATTCATTTTTAGCATTTTAGTGTGTTTAAGAATTTTTTGCTGATTTTGTGCATTTTATTCACATTGGGTGATTTAACAGACTTCAGGCTATTTTAGACATTTTACATCATTTTGAGGAATTTGGGGCATTTTGGGCATTTTCGGTGATTTTAGGCATGTTATGGATTTTGGCGTGTTTAAGCCATTGATGATATTTTGTGCCATTTTAAACATTTTTAGACGTTTTACAAGATCTTAGGTACCTTAGGTATTTCGGGGAATTTTTGGCATTTTGGGTGATTTTAGGGTATGTTATGGTTTTTAGCGCGTTTTAGCCATTTTTGCGGCTTTCAGGCATTTAACAGCATTTTAGCTTTTTGGGTAATTTTAGGCATTTTGGGGCATTTTAGATATTTTACCTCATATTGGGATTTTGAGTATTTTGGGGCATTTTTGGCATTTCGGGTGATTTTAGGGCATGTCATGGATTTTGGCGCTTTTTAGTTATTTCTCCGCACATTTGGTATGTAATGTTATTTTAGGCAATATTAGGCATTTTGGGCCATTTCGGGACATTTTACAGCATTTTGAGTATTTTAATGCATTTGTTGCGTTTTTGTGTGTGTTTAGGTATTTTGTGCTGATTTAGTGCATTTTAGGCACATTGGGTTATTTAACAGACTTTAGGCCATTTTAGCCATTTTGGCATGTTTTAGGCATTTTGGGCGATTTTAGGGCATTTTTCGGCTTTTGGTGCGTTTCAGCCATTTTAAGCGTTTTGAGACATTTTGCAAGATTTTGAGCATCTTAGGTATTTTGGGGCATTTTTGGCATTTTGGGTGATTTTAGAGCATGTTATAGATTCTAGCGCGTTTTAGCTATTTTTGCGCATTTTTGGTATTTGACAGCATTTTAGGTAATTTTAGGCATTTTGGGGCATTTTAGGCATTTTACATTATTTTTGGCATGTTGAGTATTTTGGGGCATTTTTGGCATGACAGGTGATTTTAGGGCATGTTATGGATTTTGGCGCATTTTAACAATTTTGGTGCATTTTAGGTATTTAATGGCATTTTAGGTAATTGTAAGCATTTTGGAGCTTTTAGGCATTTTGGGACATTTACTGCATTTTGGGTATTTTAATGCATTTTTCGCATTTTAGTGTGTTTAGGAATTTTTTGGTGATTTAGTGCATTTTAGGCACATTGGGTGATTTAACGGACTTTAGGCCTTTCAGACATTTTACATCATTTTGAGCATTTTGAGTATTTTGGGGATTTTTGGCATTTCGGGTGATTTTAGGACATGCTATGGATTTTGGCGCGATTTAGCCATTTTTGCGGATTTTAGCTATTTATGGCATTTTAGGTAATTTTAGTAATTTTGGGGTCTTTTAGGGCATACTAGTGTATTTTATGGATTTTGGTGCGTCTCAGCAATTTAGGCACGTTTAAGTCATTAAACATTTTGGGACATTTCAGAGGATTTTGAGTATCTTGGGTATTTTGGGGCATTTTTGACATTTTGGCGCATTTTAGGTATTTTGGTATTTAATGGTATTTTAGGCAATTTTAGGCTTTTTGAGTGTTTTGGGGCATTTTTGGCACTTCGGCTGATTTTAGGGCTTGTTATGGATTTTGGCGTGTTTAAGCCATTGATGACATTTTATGCCATTTTAAACACTTAGGGACATTTTACAAGATTTTGGGCATCTTAGGTATTTTGAGGCCTTTTTGGCATTTTGGGTGATTTTAAGGCATGTTATGAATTTTGCTGCGTTTTAGCCATTTTTGTGCATTTTAGGTATTTAACAGAATTTTAGGTAATTTTAGGCATTTTGGGGCATTTTAGACATTTTACATCATTTTGGGCATGTTGAGTATTTTGAGCATTTTGATAAAAAAAAATTGTACGCGAGGTAAAATATTGCAGGAAAAAATTGAAACGAAATAAAATTTTGACACAAGGATAAAATATGACAGGACAAAGAGAGCTTTCTGGCGGTTTTATTGACTGTTATTATCTGTGAACTTTCATTATTGGTCAATTTTTCAAAATTTCGAAACTAACTGGAACTATATTCTTTAAATAAGAAAATAACTAGAAATAACTAAAATACGAACAGATAAGATAATGTGATTAAAAAATTCAAATTTCGAAAAATAATGCATGAACGAGGATTTCTATATACAGGGTGTATAAAAAAAATTCGAATCGAAATTTTGCGTGTAATAATGCAAAATATATTTGACGAATTTGGTTGATTTTTGCACCATTGTTAAGTTCATTTATTCCTCTTCAAATGACACGTTGTACGTGTAATTTAGTTGAAGAATGAAGAAGTACTGGTTCGACAAAAAAAGTTCATAAAAATCACAATTTTCCGCCGATGGGAACTGGTCGTTTGTTTTTTTGAAAATTAATCCCAAAGGGTTTTAAAATCTAATCATTACTGAAAACTAAAACGCAAATTTGTCTCAAAAATTCTGCTTAGTCAATGTTCAACGATAGAAGTTTGAAGAAAACATTGCCTCCATTATTTAAATTTGCATTTTCTTTTGTCTGGAGGTCTCATCTCGAATTCCCATCGGCGGAAAAATTTTATTTCGAGCAACAATTTTTAAAAGACGATAACTCGGCCAGTTTTGGTCGTGTCGATATAAGAACGGTATAATCGCAAACTAAATAAGCTAATCTTTGTTGCCATGTAAAATTATATCGTTTACTTTAGTATTTTATACACAGCAGCTTGTCAAAGTTGGATTCGAATTTTTTTATACACACTGTATATAATGGTCCAAAACCCTCGAATACGTGGTAATAAATTTGCGCATGCTTCGCATCTTTGTCCCGTCATCATCAGAGAAAGCAAATCTGCTATCAGGGAACGATTGCAAGAACTCTAAACTCGTACAATTTTATCTACTCTTATCTACATTTCGTTGTTCAAGCTCAAAAAGAAACTATCCAAACTGGTGCTGATTTGGTAACTGAATATAATTAAGAGTCACAATCTTAGTTGATATATATTTTAGAATATATACATTACTAAAGTGCCTTACAGTCGACTAACTACAATTATTACACAAATCGTTGATATATAGAAATACACTTGATTATAACTGCAAAAAATATTTAAAATTACAGTAAAAGAGAATGGTTAACTGTTAACAATTCCGTTTTCATTGAGTTTAAAAACCTATCTAACAAATATTGCACTAGAAATTACTTGATTATAGAAAATGCTTTAAAAAGTAATGTCTTACATATGTTCCTGGATCATTCTGTGAAGAAAAAAGAGTCAGGGTGAGAAAAAATAACTTGATAATATACATTATTACATATTGAAAATAATTCACAGCCTCTGATTGGCTAATAGCCATGACGGAACAATGGAAGGAACAATGTTGTGCTGCCGACATTGTTCAGAGTTGTTATTAACATTGAACAATATTCATTTTCAACAATATTGTTCAATGTTGTTGACAAGTGTGAACAATAATGGCAGCACAACAATGTTCCATGCTGATAAACCGCAGGCTTAGAGTTTTTAGGCGTGTATAAAATACATGTTATACATGACATCAATAACGATTTTTTAATCATGATTGCGTGTTTTACTTCATGTAAGGAAATTATAACGGATCAGCATGCTAATTGTGAATTAGTACCATGAAAAAACACATTTTCGGGTAATCGCGATAATTGCGATGGACTTTTTTCTTGCACGCTATCACGTCATAACGTGTGATAAATCCCACGTTATAATTCCACGTTTGACGTCATAGCAATGGCGAAAAGGAAGCGGAAGAAATGTGCATCAAATAAAGTTGTAATGCTCATTCTTTCAAATCAATAATAAACAATTATTGAATTCAGTTTTCACATGAAATGAAGAATTATCAAGCTTAAGTTTGTTGTTCGGCTTCGGTTGATAACCACAAACCTCAGCTTGATAATTCTTTATTTCATGTGAAAACTGAATTCAATTAAATAGCCCATGATATGAATATCGAAGTACACTTTGTTGTACAAAATCAACTTAACAATGACTCAATTATGATACGCACTTCGCTTCTAATCTTGTTTATAATACCTGTTTAAACTAAAACTTGAGTTAATTAGGGCCTTTCATCCGTAAATTGCATGGCCATTTTGAAAACCGGCTTAGGTGATGATAATCGCGTATAATAATCCAAAGTCGCGCGATCAACTAAAGGCTTCAATTTACAAACGAAGAATCACCTTTGTAATTATACTAAAATGTACTAACTTTGATGTCATCAATATGTAAAGCATTAACATGAAACGGAGTACTTACCTTTGAGAAAGTCTTTCATCTAGATGCAAACACACTCACCATTCTGCCGTGTTGGGCTAGCGCCATTGTCACATTCTACAAATTAGGATTGTAAAAAAAGTTTCAGAAGCAATTCTACTGATTTTGTGTGATGAACGCGTGTCTAATTAGTACAGCCTAAAGCTAATCATGCGATGGCGAAAACAGCTCGGAAATAATAGTACGAGTTGACGTTTTAAAATTGAATTTTTAAAAATCACGAGCACTATTAAACCCTAAGTGTACGAGCAATATCGCATTATTAGTTTATTCACTGCACGAAAATAACTTTTAATGTGATTAATAAAGGCCTGTTTAAAAACAAAAAAGATATTCCACATTTACCTTTCCACTTGCAAAGTGAAATTCTTTTGATTGAACCGCACTCCACTCGAGGAGTTTCGTCTTGTGGTGATCTAAATGCATCTTTTTGAATAGACACGATACCAGCAACATTATCACAATACAGTCGAGACAAGCTGGCTCTTCTGATCTGAACAAGTTGCTCTGCTGTGAAAACACCGTCATTTGCATAGTAGAAACGGTCACCATCTCTAGAACGTAGGAACTGCTCGCGTATGATGCATCGCAATGTTGGACCTACGGTTGCTCCTGGGACTGGGGCCTCGGCGATACCGGCTAACCACAGATCCACTAAATTTGGATCGCCGTACAACCGCTTCAAAATATCTCTGTTGTTTTTGTCCGTAATTTCATTACTCGTTTCATCAAAATTACTTGCACTCGGAAGTCCGCAGTATTTTCTGAATGCATTGTAACCAGGGAGACCATGGTCTCGGGACCTCTGTAGATTCAGCGCTGCAAGGTTCTCTCCGTGCTCGTTTCCACGTTCAAACAAATGTTCCGTGATCTCTGGTGTCAAGTGTACGTCAACTTTTTCTGAACCATTTCCGACAAGCCCCAGCAATATTGGTTCGATCCCCAAGGTTCTCGTGATTGTATTATTGAAGAACAAAAAACGAAGTTTTACAGCCGGAAGGATTGGCTCAAAATATTTGTCCAGGAGTTCAAATCTTGAACGGATGGTACTGTGTCCAAATCTATACGCAGCAGAGGCAAAGGCGTTGGATATGTCTGGTTTAACACTATCATCGTGTCCAGTATACGCAGGAAGCGCGTCTGGACCAAGAATAATCGGCAAATAATCTTGATATACAATCTTTTGTATAATAGCTCCAACGATTTTCCTCGCTTCCTGGAAAATAATTTCGCCACTCCAGTGATTGTTCAATTGTTTAAGCTTTCTTGCAATGCGGTTGTGCTCTCTCAGAAACAGAGTATGGAATGACGTCAATCCTTGCTGTTCATTGGCTCGCAGATCACCAGCCTCGAAGCATCCTTCAATACATATTGGGTCATTGGGATTATCAGGCAAGTACTCTTGCCCATCGCGCAGAGATACACGCATCAGTCCAACGTCGTCTAAAAATAAATCATTCTGTTTACACGCGTAAAAATCATCATGTTGATGCAAGTTGTTAAAAACAGGAGTGAACAATGTTGTCCTGCACCCAGTGAACAGTATTGTTAACAATGTTGTTTAAGCTTTTTGAATCATCAATGTTGTTGCAACTTGTTACAACAATATGCATCAACATTGATGATTCAACAAGCTTCAACAACATTGTTAACAATACTGTTCCCAGGGGGGCAGCACAACATTGTTCACTCCTGATGCGAGAACCTGATCAATTTTTGGCCGTGTAGTAGAACGGAAAGCTAGGGTATACGAGAGGAAGGACTGTCGAACAGTCGAAGGGCATGGTGCTGAGTTGTAAATTCAAATATTGTAAATCTATATTTTTGTAAAGTGTATTGGTAATAAAAATCATTTGTTGGAAAAAAAAATTACTGTCATCATGCATAAGAACGCTTATGTCATTTATACACTTGGGGGTCCCAACAGCGTGCTTATTGGGCATTCAAACTCCAGGTATTACATTGTTATAAGTGATTTCAATGGTTTTCGGTTCTTCTAGGAAACTCTGTATTTTCGGTCTGCATGGGTGGGGAATCCGTCGAAATAAATTTGTCGAGGTCGATTAGTCATCGGAGTCTTTGACCTCCATGCACCTTGACTTAATATTCATAGAGATTATGTAAATAAAGATTAATATCTTAGCATGCTTACTTTCCAAATCTCTTAGGCGGAGAGTTGTGTTTTCTGACGAACCGTAGACATTATTGCCATCAATGACTGCTGTTATGATGTTAACTTGCTCTCTTTTCGTATCTACCGAGTAGTTGTGGCACATTGCAGAAGATCTCACAAATCGTGTGCACGGAGGTTGACCGTGGGCTAACGGGAGTATTGGGTAGCAAGGCGATGCAAAATCGGCGGCAGATCCGTCACATCTGAAGAGAAAAGTAAAAATTATATTCCTGATACTCCAGGGGCCGGTTGTTCGAAAGGCGCTTAGCTTCAACGGTGAATAAGTTCAAAATGGAAAACAAAATGATCTATTTATTGAACAACTGAGCTGAAAAATTTCGATGTAAAAAGTTCAATTGTCAATGAGAGTACATATCAAAGGCATAAATTGCAAGTTCAGTCATTCACAAGATCTATTGGAACAATTTTAAACTTTGGCTTATCCACCGTTTAGGCTAAACGCCTTTTGAACAATTAAAAACAAACTAAAACAAAGGTTTTTATCTATATTAATTGATTCACCAGTCACTCTGAGAAAAACAATACGGCGTTATTTAAAAAATTCGCTTGGGAGTTTGAGTTTAATGAATTATCATAATTTATAATAAATCTGATTAGTATTCGTGTAATAAATTCCACCGCAGAATATAAGACACCAGAACAGTCACTCAAGCTAAACTTGCGGTCTCTATAAAAACAATCTCTATCAAAACAAATCAGTGGGGCATAAGACAAATATATGAATATGCACCCCCTCCACCAGTCTATAGCTTCTAGCAATGTCACTGGGAGAAAAAAATTATCAAATACATACGGTATTGCGTTGCAAGCTGTGCTTCCTTCCCCCCCGGCTGAGAGATCCAAATCATGGTCAAGAAATTGTCCCATTTGCATCACAGCTTGGGTCAGACTTGGGTCAGCAGACGAGGCTACTTCGTCTCTGATGAAATCTCTGCTCACTGCATATGGCGAAGGAATGTTTGGAGCATTTATTTGTCCAGGGAAGCCGATAGGGTCATTCAAGCCATCCGGATCATAGTATATCTGGGAAGAAAAAACCCCAAGAAAATTCAATCGTCACACCCCAAGAATATAATCGTTCTCAATCATGTATATAAAAGCCGGTTGTATGAAAGGTGGATAGCGCTATCCATTGGGTAGTGGTTATTTCAACCGTTCTAAAAATGCTCGAAAAGCGATAAAATTTTATCTTTGGGACCAACAATTATTGAAGAGGATCCTCTATTTAGGAATACTAAGATTTAATCAAAGCTATACCCAATGGCCGATTTTAAAGCGATTGAAAAAGAAACACTATCCGGTGAATAGCGCTATCCAGCTTCCATACAACCGGCTCCAGATAATTAGTTACTCTTTATCCGGAAAACATGTGTGGATTTAACGTATAAAATAAGAGACCTTTAATACGTTACAAAATATGTGCTATATACATATCAAAAGCAAGTAAATTACAGTAACCCTCGTTATATAATAACTACAATGAAACACGCGTTTTGATTGGTTAGTATAGGAGTGCAGGACGAGACAATCTTGCACGGTAGACAAGTTAAAGAAAGGAGTTAGGGTCCCCCGACAAAAAAGCTAACTCTAAGAATTGTAGCAGATTTATAGGGATTTTGATAAATGGTATACGAGTAAATAAGATAATAAGTATAGCATTTGATTAGAGGATTCTTTGGAAGCATGGCCTTGAGTATGAAAGCTTTGATCAAATATGATAAGGCCTGTTACACGATACAATTTTTCTTTCAACGTGCTATGCAATTCTTCTTTTCAGAGATGTAAACTTGAAAACTACCGAAACTTTGCCTTCATTACACTCTCTACAATCTCTAAGAAGTAGAATTGCAATGCAAGTTGCGAGGAAAATTACACCGGCTTCAGTGAGGACTGCGTAACACGGGCTTCAGTGAGGACTGCGATTGAATGATTAGTAGATTAGGGGGGGGGGGGGAGTGAAAAGTGAAAGATAAATTTCGAGGTTACTATTGATTTTCCTGCATTCTGATCGGTCAAGATTCACTGTCTCTCTGAAGTGATGGTCACTGGTCGGGGACTATAGCTTTTTGTTGTTGTTTTTCAACTAAGAAATTTGAATTAGAATTTTTTATGACTTCGAAATTTATGCTAAAACGATTAGTCGATTGTTAACTATAATTGATACAAATTGTTTGATTTCGACGAGAATATTCCTGGATAAGATCTGCCGTACGCGTGGGTTTTACTTTAACCTATAGCCTGTTCATACATATATAAAGCTTTGTAATAATAAATAAACTATCGGTTAAATTAATCTACTTACCGCTTCTAATAGTCTTACGTAAGGCGTGTCTGCTCCGCCAGCCTGGGGAAACCTAAGATTACTGCATCTTCCATCACTTCGCCTATATTTAGCATCTGCTGGGCAGTCTATGACCTCGTTTGTTGCATGACAACCCGATTGGGCGATCAAATGTTGTAAATAGGTTGGGGAGAACAGGTCTTGCAGATGGAAAAAAGCCTGAACTGCTCCTCTGCCATACTCGTTTTCTGCAAATACAAAAAATAAAACGGTCAACGGTTATTATTGCATGCATGAGATAAGTACACGTCCAAAATAAATTACATCTCAAGTTTGAGTGATCCAACCTGAAACTTTATTTGTTGTCTCGATTTGTATCACATGATATTTTTAAGGTCTGTTCACACGATACAATTTTGTTGGACCCAATTCACTTCTCTTGGATGTTTAAGGGTCTGTTGACTTGCAATGAATGTGGGCAACAAATCCACTGAAGCCAATTCAGTAGGGCTTTATCGATAATACACTGCATCCCATACGTCAGAAGTGAATTGGATCGTGTGGACAGACCTTTAAACACCATCGAACGAATGTCTCCAAACGTCCGCTCAAAGATACGTGTAAGGATTTACGATTTCTTAACAAAATACGAGCGACTTTATATCCAAAACGCTGAATATCAAGGGAAGCTTTGTTGGTTTTGACAAACTTGTCAATTATTTCTAGCCACAAAGATTACACACTTAGTTTGGGGGAACAGAAAAATATGTGACAATTCTTTGTCATGTGGGTCTACCCTACCATGCATAAAATCTCATATATTATAGATATGGAATAAGATAGGTTTGGGTATAGGTAAAAAACAAGTGGTGAACAATATCATGCCAAAAATACATAGTCATATTCAATATATCCCCCCATTTCTGTAACCATATAGAGGCCGTCTATTTAACAATTGGTCGCCGATGTGATTACAAGCCAATATTCACTGAGCCGAAGGTGAAGTGGCTTGTAATCAACGAGCCTAAGGCGACTAATTGTTTTAGTATAAATTTCGAGGTGTTTACAAATAATAGTCAGCACAATTTCATAAAAAAATAGAATTATTTCAAATATCTTATTTGAAAAACAACAACAAAAATTGTTCAGACCAGTGACTATATCACTTCAGAGACCCAGTGAACTTCATAGTCGGTCACCCCCGAATTTATACTCTAAGGCTATATAACTCTAGAAAGTCAATCATGCGCCTGCAGTACACTTGCTACAAGAAGTGGACGGAAAATTACTCACCAAATGATCCTATAATTATCACTTCCACCAGTTGTACTGTTCTTTCTTGTGTTGTTGCCTCTACAGCATTACCAGCAATCGGATCATCAGCTGGTATTTGTTTCAGCGATCTGTCCAGTAGCTGTGGTGTTATCTCAGCTGTAGGACCGTAGTTTAGGGTGATAGATTGAGCAGTTGTTTGACCTGTCCGCACAGCTTGCAATGCAGGCAATAACAGAGCATCACCATGATAAAGTGGAAGCACATAAATGACAACTGCAACAACAACCTCCTCAGACGCTATCGTTGCTTTGACAGAAAACCTTGAGTTATTTACCAGATGCACATTTGTCTCATCAACATCTACTGATGTGCTTAGTTCGCCGGTGCTTGGATGAATCCACACAGGGGACGAGCAATCGGTTAAACTGTATCTCACATCTGGATGATCTAACGTGACTGTAATTTTGCCAATTCCTCCCTTCGGGAATTTGTCCGTTAGAAGTATGGCGTATCGTTCCTCTGGGAATCGTAAACCTGGAGAAATAAAAAAACACATTGATATCAAAATTACGCTGTTTCCATCATTAATGGTTACAGAATAAGAACGGAAAATTCCAAATCGAATTTCATCATGATAAGAAAAGGATAAGCTTAAAGAGGACGTTAAGTCAGTTCGGCGCATTGGTTCTGCTCGTTCTCGTACCAGTATGCGAGGTTCAAATTGCTCATGTTTTAAATTTTTCTGAAGATAAACTCTAGTTCAGTTGAAAGCGTAGCGAACCTTAATATGGTGTTAGATATTCCGACAGTATAGCTACAACGCATTTTAAAAAGTATCAAAGTACACAATGAAAGCAAAGCGTTTGTTCACTTGCGAACTAAACTTCTACTTTAACTGTAAATTTGAAGGATTAACTAATCACTTTACAGAAGAAACGAATGAACGTCCGATGATATGATATTGCGATATAAATGGCACTCATTGAAAAAAGGGGTATATTTCCGTTATAAAAAGCAACAGTAGCGGAACATTATTTGAACTAAAATGACCACAACGCCTTCCATGTATTTCCCGATAATTCAGGCAAAGCATGGGATCAATCGATTCTCGTACCTTTCTTACTACGCAGCGTAGCGCAATCATGTTAACAAATAAAATAACCCCCTCCCCCCTTACCCCACTGCTTGCAACTCTGTCTAAACTGATCACTATGCACTTATTATCATTTATAGACCTGGAGCGAGGGGAATTCGACGAAATATTACCCCCAAGGGAAGATATATCCCGAGGGCTTCGCCCAAATTATATATTATATCGAAACAACGTGTAGGCAGCGCAAAAGCTGAAATGGCTTCTTTTGCCTCCATTTTGAAATTGTTGACAACCTCGAGTCGTGTGCGAGGCATTCACGCGTGGTACACGCAAACTCGAATACCCGGGTATTCGACTTTTATAGCATAATGTGAAAAAATTCGATGGAACTCCATGATTAATTTACTGATCACGTGGTACAAATCGAGCTTTCTGATTGGATGATTTACAGTTGAGATATAATATTCTAACTTATCGCACTGTGATAACTGCTTGTGATGCAAATACAACACTCTACTGTATTCTCATGCGCTTAATTCATATAATACTTATTAGTATAAATTTCGTGGTGACTATTGATTTTCCTGCATAATGATTGATCAAAAGTGCTAGCAACCTGTATAGCTTTTTGATTGTAATTTTTTTGAAATTGTGCTGATTTTTTGAAACACCTCGAAATTTATATTAAAACAACTAGTCGCCCCAGGCTTGGTGATTACAAAACTATATTCAAATCGCTTTTGGCGACCAATTGTTAAATATCATCTATCGAGAGAAAATATGAAGAAATATCTCACCAGTAAAGTGATAAATCTTGTCGTTTTGATCAATGGAATAAATGTCTAAAGGCCCAGATGCCACGTGATTTATGGATGGTGGTGCAATGAATTGCTTCCAATGCGTTCCCAATGGACGACTTGGCGTAATACCAAGACGAACGTACATTATCTTCGCACTATTAACTCCATACACATGACCCTCGCTGCTCACCTGTTAAAAATACACAAGCGTTTGAATGAACTTTAGTTTATCTGGATTAAGTGCCTACAAGTTCCATGTCAAATGTGCCCGCACAAATGGTGGTAAAAGGATGTTTTAGTAGCGACTGCAATTACAAGCACGAGAAACGTCATTCGCGAGTTGTTTGCTCACGCCATCAGCCAAAACTCGTAGTCGCCGGGTTTTTAAGTACGAGCTTGTTGGCAAATTTTGTACTCGAAAGAGATCCAGCAACGACCACGAGCTAAAACGCCCTAAAAATAGCCCTCAAGCGCACGCTGGCCGATACCTCAACGACTCTCCATTCGCTATGATTTACCGGTAGGTCAGTTTTGCGGATAAAAAGTTTCTCAATAGAATTCGTCGGCAAATAAAAGTTTTGTGTGCGTTGGCCTTAGAGTTATATATTTATCATTTTTCGTACAGACACATTTTGACCTCGAGCTCTCAGTCCAGATGAACTAATGAATACTCATACATATATAGATCAGTGCTGTGAATATTTGTCAAACTGCTCGATATATCTTCTTGTGACTAATATTTGCAAGATATTAGTAAGCAACAGTCGTGGGAACAGGGTCGTGAATCTTAATCTACCTAATTGCCTAAGGCAGATGTATGAGGTGGGTGTCCTAATTCCGTTTTGCCATCTAAGCGGTGGCGGCGCCAAGTTAAAATGAACGGCAAGGGGGGGGGGGCAAGTACGGGTCAAATAAATATTTTCGGGGTAAATTTTATTATAAGTGAAGCGAACATCGCGTGAACTACTCTCGTTGCATGAAAAGAACGTGGCCAAAAATAGGGGGAAGACGTCAAAAAAGAGGTAAAGAGATCACGCTCTCCCCTCATCCCCCCCAGCGCTGACACTGCGTACACACATATGAACAGAGAAAAGAAAATTAAAGTAGACAACTTCGGTTACATGGCCATTGCTAACTGCCCAGTGTTCATTACTGAATATTTCATCACAGCTATGATACGTCGTACGCGCCCTTACCTCAACCTGACTCAACAGTCCAGGAATTCGAGTCCACTTGAAACCCTGACACCTGTCGGCAGTCATTCCAGTTCGAACCCAGATGTGATAATTCGAATTCACTCCCCAACATCCATAAGGACCGCATGCAACATACTCCAATCGTCCACCCACCTCTACCCAACTGGAACCTTTGAGATTATCGCTAGTTATACCAACTCGACAGTATATATGACCACCATTGTTAACACCATACACAATTCCTGTTGGTCCAGAGTCAATTTGTTTCAAGCCACCTTATATGTAGAAAAGACACGAAAGGATCACTAAATCAGTTTTCAATGCAAAGAAAAACGAATAATTGTAAAGTGCATCAATTATTCTCATATTCTTTTACCGGGTGTTAAATCAGGTCAAAGTACTTTTATTATTATTTATTTAAAGGAAATCGTCATGTCCAACGGGTGACGTCATAACGTGTTATACGACTTTTTTCGTGCACGCTATTACGTCATAACGTGTGATAAATAGTCGTTTTCCACGTTTGACGTCACACCAATGGCGGAGGCATCAACGCAGTGAACTCAAATAAGACTGCAACGCAAGCTCTGCGAAAAATTTGAAGCGAAGATGGCGGAAGCCTTTCTTGTAGGTATGATCCAGGCGTCTGGCGCGGAAATTTCGTAAGTAAAATGGCGGGAATGATGATTTACCTTTGCAATTTCCGCGCCAGAGGCCTGGATCATACCTACAACAAAGGCTTCATGATCCGCCATCTTGGCCTCACTCATTAATGAGGGAAAGTCAGAATCAGCGTTCCAGCGACACCGCGGAAATTGGTATAGGCTTAGCCGCAATTCTCGATACTTAGACTTCAAACTTGGTGAGGAAAAAGATTTATAAATATTCAAGAAAATATGTCTTGCACAAAAGATTTGAAGCTTGCTCACGGTAAAAACGAATCGTCTGAATTAATAACCTTGTGTATACTTTAAGCCTCAAAATGGCCATTTCACAGCGGTCAGATGTGTATGATGAGCTGTCAAAAGATTGCAGAATGCGTATTCAGAAGAAAAATTGAACTTTTTTAAGATATTCAAAAGGTTTCTCTTTGATAGGGCGATACAGAAATGCACAATTGTGAACCAGCGATTAGATTTTCGGGTTGAAACGTCTTAAACACCAATTTCTGCGGTGTCCGTTCCAGCCTTATTTGAGTTCACTTTATCAACGTCCCAAAGGAGCGGGAATGTTAAACCGACAAAAATTCAAGGGAACAATTCAAAGTTTTAATGTTCGTCCTTTTAAATAAATAATAAAAAAATTATTCAATTCGGTTTTCACATGATATGAAGAATTATGAAGCCTAAGTTTGTCATCATCAACCTCACCCTTCGGCTTCGGTTGATAACCACAAGCTTCGGCTTGATAATTCTTCTTATTATATACACAAGCGCCAGATATATGAGGTATGCTGCAATTTCACTGGTTGGCTACTAGACAAATATTAGCTCATATCTGTCTAGTAGAGAAAGTAAACAAAATGGCTGAAAGTTTGGGGAGTTGAGTGAAATAGAAATCCAAGCTTCAGTTGATAACAGCTCACCAAAATGCACCAAAAGGGCGACAAAGTTTGTGTATAAAATACGCGCCGAGTTGGCTATCGGCCATATACGACGAGAGTGAGCAGAATAACTGATAAATATCATGTTCAACCTCATTCAATAATTGTTAAGTATCAGACAATTTTTTGTGAACGAAAAGTGGAGTTGCTGCGGTCCTCAAGATTGAAAGCAGATTGAAAAATTGCAAAGTAGCGGCAAAAGACACACGGTTCTTTCTTCAGCTCCTATCCTACACTATTTTACCCCGTAATCCATGTCTAATGCTCAGAAGACTGTTGTCACAGACTTCAGTGATGTAAATTTTCTTACCAGGTACGTGGGACCAAGATGTTCCTGCAAGATTACTTGATGTGACACCCTCGCGATAAAAGATATGGTTATTGCTATTTACTCCCCACACTCCTGCATTTCCAACTGAAACATGTTTCAGCAGACCAGGAATGCTGCGCCAAGTATCAGGACCATTGAAAATTAAATGTGCACTGTTCACCCCCCAAACAACTCCAAAATGATTGACGTCCAGTTGGTCCAAATTACGGTTAGGAATCAACGTCCATCTTGGGGCGACCACTGAAATGATGATACATATGTTATTCACCGGCAGCAACGTCCGCATAAAAAATATTTTCAGAGGTCTCAAGCTTTTGAGACCGAAGTCAACATTGGGTAGTATTTTAATTATGCAGTCACACTCAGCCACGGTGAAAAACAAAACACTTCCGCATTCGTTTCATTTAGTAAACTTCACTTTTATCGCGTGAAAACAATATTTTAATCCATATATTCAGTAGTGTAAAGTGCTCGAGAGTTGGTAAAGAAAAATTAGGAAAACAAAACAGTCTTCGCCTGAGCATTAAATATATATTCCGGACAATTCTGGACTGTGGTTAGATATTGTAAAATTCTGCGCGCATATACCTACAGCCAGTCAGAATGCGAGATCCGATCCTAACCGAACTGGTCAAGAAATGAAGAAAACGCGGCGGGAAAATGAATTAACGATGACTGCAATATTTCTCGTTTATAGACCTGGAGTGAGGGGGACTCGGCGAAATATTTCCCAAAGTGATGATAGCCCAAGGGAAATATAATTACTCAGGAAAATATCATAAAATGCTAAAATAGGCCTACAAGAAATTTAATTTGTAAGAAAAGAAGGACATGTTCAAAGCGATGGTGCTTCAGTTGTAAATTCAAATATTGTTATCCATATTTGTAAAGTGTGTTGGTAATAAAAATCATTATATGTGGGTATAGAAACAAATTTTTCTGTCATCATGCATAAGAATGCTTATGTCAAACATTTATTTATATACTAAGTCTTGTGGGTCCCAGCAGGGTGCCCAGATATTCAAACTCTTGCTATTACGTTGTTATGGATGATTTCAATGGTTTTGGTCTTTTGGGACACCCTGTATCACAAACTAAATTTTGTAAAAGCAGTAATTTATTACTACAATAACAAAAGTGTGGCATCTTTTTTTCTATAGCTATAGCCCCGTTTAAACTGCACTCGATTTATTGGCAAGGCACGGCTAAAATGGTTACGCGTATACGGGTGTACCCGTCCTTTGTCTCGGTAGCTTGAGCACCAATAAAATTGGGCACGGGTGCCCATTTTAGCCGTGCCATGCCTGTTAATTGAGTGCATGTACAGTGTAAACGGGGCTTATATGCATGAAGATATATCTTACCATTCGTATAGAGTATGTAATCCCCATGGGTTATACCCCATGCAGTATTTTTACCGGGTGAAACATGTTTATATGCACTACCAATAAGTTGCCAGCCTGTTCCATCTGGGTCAGCTGCTGTAATACCCAATCGACGATAGAGGTTGTTTCCAGAATTGACTCCAAGAACAACTCCATTCGCGCCAACCTGTTAAAAGAGTTTAAGAATTATCAACAAGTATAATGCTAGAGCAGATATGAAGTAATTGGAGCTTTAAAATGAAACATACTCTAATAATATTTCAGTTAAAAGAAAAACGTATACAAGACACAATTATTCTAAATTATTCGGAAGTGGAATTGAACTATCGCCAATTGAATAATTGCGTCGTGTCGTAATTACTGTCGCCCGAGTGAACGCCTGAGCAGGCGTCTTGTTGCATCTTTTCCACCCAAATGGTAGCGCTCCTAGTCTTTTTTGCATGTTCCTACCTCAATTTGCTTCAGTTTCCCAGGAATATGCTGCCATGATGAACCTGCGCAGTTTGCAGCTGTAACTCCATGTCTGATAAAAATATCATCGTTACTGTTCACCCCCCAACATCCCAAATTACCACAGCTTATATACTTCAGCTTTCCCACAACATGCCTCCAAGAGTTGCCAAAAGGTAGAGCATGTGATATTCCTGTCCTGCAAAAGATGTCGTTGTTGGAATTCACACCATATACAATTCCCCGCGGTCCTGAATCAATCTGTTTTAGCAAACCTAAAAGTTTTAAAGATATCAAGTTAAATAGTTCTGAAAAAATAATGTGTGATTAGGTTTTAAATTGTGTGAAAATATTTATTACAACAAATTTTTAGCTATAAAAGTGAATTAGCTCGTTGAAACTGGGCTCAAATGAATTGGAAAACATTGATTATTATTACCCGATATATGAATGAACTACTTGTGGTAAACACCTTCAAGTGAAAGTGAAAGTGAAAGTGAAAGTACTATTTATGCTAGGGCAGGGGACGGAGGGAACGCCCTGAAACTGAAATTTTGCCTCCCCCCCTGAGAAAGTGAAGTAAATCATTTTTATGCTGCACAAAAAGTCTGCATGTGATCTTGCCCATCGAAATCGCCATCAATAATGCCACATTAAAATTCTGCCCAGAATATTTAGCATGAACCTTGCATCGAGCAGCCTGACCCCACATAATTTTTGCCTCCCCCCCCCATGCATAAAATCCTGGCTACGCCCCGGGGACAATTTCAGCATTTCATTTACAAACAATCATGCCCTCACCACTCGCTCGTACCCAACCAACACCCGCTGAGTTCTCTACTGATTCGTAGTCTTTACGATAGAAGATGTGATTATCTTTATTTACTCCCCAGACTCCTGCTTCACCAACGGAGACATGATTTAATAATCCTGGAATTCGTTGCCAGTTTTCTTGAGAATGACGATAGTGCCATATTTGGTGTCCAGAACTTACCCCCCAGACCTCATCATCCACTGGACTAACATCAACTTGCATCAGTCTTCCTGGTACAACCGACCAAGTGGCTGAAAATGTATTGAAATATTATATGTCAGTAATTATTTAAAAAGCGCAGAAAACCTGTTTTAAAGACGAGGTGAGAGTCTAAAAAATTGCCTGCTACAGCAAGAATGTTTACGTCACTGTTACGATATTTTACGCACTAGTTAAAATACGAGCGGCTGATCTGTATGGGTATTTACCATAGCAAGTGCGTAGCACGAATAAATCCCGTACAGATCAGCCGTGTAAATCCCATACAGATCGGCCGCGAGTATTTTAACGTGCTGGTGAAATAAATTAAGGTTCACGCATATTAGGGCATGTGTGTGACAAAGTTATGAATACTAATTAAGATTGATTGTATCAAAGTTAATATATGAATTACTAACTTCTTATTAACTGAGCGCGAGGTCTGTACCGAGAAATATCGGACCGAGGTCTTTTTGTAAAGACCGAGCTCGAAGAGCGAGGTTTGTACAAAAAGATCGAGGTCCGATATTTCTCGGTGAAGACCGAGCAAGCGAGTTTAATAAAAAGTTTATTATGTGGCATAAGGCATGTATTTGAACTTGAAACAAACAAGAAATGCATGAATTCGTATTAATAGCCTGGTACGCATTGGATAAAAACAAAATCTCAAATGAATACTTTACCTCCATCGATACTGCTGATCGCGAAAAACAGAAGTAATATGGACAAAATTTTCATCTTGAAACTTGATTTGGACACTGACATTTGACCCAGTTCGAACGGTTGCTTCTATATATGCCTATAAAAGTAATTATGTATATTAAGGAAATCTACTCACGTTTTGCATGCCGAATTGCATGAAAGCAATCATTGACATCAGACTTGTCGAAGTGGGAAGTTGTTGCTAAGATGGAGTGACCGTGTCCAGGATCTGCCGGATACTTTTTTCGATCTACTGAGCGAAAATAGGTCGACAGAGGGTATATTGGGATAAAAGGCGGAACGGAAAAGTAGAAAAACGGGAAACACGTAAGAAAGTTCAGTTTGCTATTGTAAATGTCACAAAATGTTAATTGACACAGCGAAATGAAAAATGCTTAGAAATTACAACCACAAATTTATATGGATAATGTCATAAAATATTCAATGTCGATTTTTAGCAAAAATAATGTTGTACTTCTGTCGGTAATAAGTAAACATAATTTAATAAGCAATTAGGCATTTTTATGGTAGCAAAATGGGAGAATCCGAGGATAATTCAAGATAATTTAGCAAGTAAAAACCATTAAAAGAGTCATATAACTAATTAAGTCGCTTCTAAAGATCTGTGTTTTAAAGAATGAGCCGTCTCTGTATCCAAGGCTGGTTTTAACCGTTGTGACTCATGAAGACGACGTAGCTTGGCGGTTTACAGCTACATCTGAAATGAATCTCTAGTTGAACTTGTCGACTAATCAACTATAATCTTTTATTGGGACATGTCAGCTGCCGAAAAAAGGCTTTTCGGCGTTGTCAGAATTGCCATTAAAATGAAAGCAATTCTATAGAAAATGAGGCGGCTAATCCGGCCTAAACAACGCAAAATAATTTATAATGTTCTCCACTACATGAAGGACCTGGGTTTAGGGCAATATCAAAGATCCGTGGGTGGAAATGAACTATCAATTGATATGGGTAAATCAGTTATGATTTTTGGCACTTCACTCGATGAAATGTGTATAATTCCACTATCATTTGATATGTATATCCGTATTATTTTTTATCTATCCCACCACGCAGTAGCTTAGTCAGCCTAACAATTTAGTCCTACTATGCGGCACGATATGTTTTCGTGTAAATTGACAGTGAAAACAATCAATTTCTAAATTTAAAATTTGACTAGCAGGATCGCCAATAAGCTGACTACGGCACAGCATCGCACCCCCATAAAAGCATCATCATTTTAAACATCCATCCTTAGAAAACATCCCTCGGTAATCCCTTATCAAGCTCTGATACTTATATACTTATAATCGCTTATACTTGTAAAATGCGATATACTTCATGTAAAAATATCTTGATGTTGGCACAAGAAAACGAAGTTTTTTCACTGATTATTAAAAGCAAACAAGTGGAATATTGCGAGAGAGAAACTATACGATGCTACAGTGCTACAGCACTATAGATCTGGTAATTCGAACTGTCGTGGGCGTTTGTTATATTGTAATCGAGAAATACTTAAATACTCATAAGACCTAACCAGAAGCTTAGCAACTATCTGCCTCCGGCGAGAATCGAACCTACGTCTTGTGTTACCGGTGCATTGTTCAGGCCAAGGGTATACGGAAATGACTGCCACTTAGGATGCTACGTTGCACACTATTAAAAGTGGCCTAATGCGAAGTTCAGATTATTATAATTCAAAGTTTGCTACATGCTGTGCGTGGAATTAACTTCACATTCCTCAGTGCTAAGAATAACACAACAGTATCCTGGGCCTGGGTGGTAACACCAGGATGACACATCACTCAGAGCCAGGCACTGCGGTCAAACAACTTCTAAACAGTTTATAAGTACACCAATTGTGGGAAAAAAGTCAATATTGTCTTACAAGTAATAAATTACAATAATTTGATACTAGTGACTACGTGGGAGAATCGATTCAATATATAATGTGATTTCATGCACGTCAATAGCTAACAGTAGAAAAGAGTATTTTTTATTTTTTTCTTGCAATCCGAATTCATATTTTAGCGTTTCCTGCAATCTGATTGGCCGTTGTGATCCGAATTCATATTAGCGTATTATGCAATCTGATTGGCCGTTGTGATCCGAATTCATATTAGCGTGTTCTGCAATCTGATTGGCCGTTGTGATCCGAATTCATATTAGCGTATTCTGCAATCTGATTGGCCGTTGTGATCCGAATTCATATTAGCGTATTCTGCAATCCGTATGAGGCCGCAAGGACCGCGTGAGGTTTAAAAACACGCACACACAGGGCCGCCCCCCTTTAATTAAAAAATATCTATTATTTACCAGTTTAGTCGGTCCGTATAGGGAAATATTATACGGGGAGAGGGGTTGGGGTGGGGGTTAAGCCCTACTCTTTTTACCGAAGATAATTTTTCTACTATTTCTTACACTTGCGGCAAAGTCAGACACCAGGGCGAGGTGAATTTTTTACATCAAAGTTAAGACGTTCCTTTTCGCGTCGTATGTGTCAAATAGTGTTTCATAGTGACTCCTACTATGGTGGGTTCTATGTCCGTCAACTCAACTCCTAGACCTCCCCCGGTTCAATATCGCGGCGCCGTGACTTTATACGTGTTTGGATTTTTTGATCACAAAATTAGGGACTCTAAAGCTTTTTAATTTCCTAATTAATCTTTTCGGTTAGGCCACCCACCCACTTTTTTATAATCATTAATATTCATAACACGCAAAGTCACATGGGAATGTGACTGGATTCTTCCAAACAAGGCCGTCGAAAGGCAGGGAAGGGGGCTGGTAGGAACATCTTAGTCCTTGTCTGTTTGGCTTTCTATTCGTATTTTATTTTTCACAAGATAATACTAAGCACGTCAGGCTCATTTAAATTTATAAGGGAACATAATTATGCGAATTGCGAGATTCAACAAATACTAAAGATTTAAAAGATTAAAAGATTAAATACGTTTAACCCCTCCCACCTATTTCGTCATTATCGACCAGCCCTTGCGCCTCAACATTCACGATAACTCCATATCAGTAAAGCGTATTTAAAATCTATTTTTTTTATTAGGGTTATTCAAGTGTTACGCGTTGTCAATGAGTTATGCACCCCGCAGTTTCTAGTTTTCTTTCATTAGACCTCATCGTCGACACTATAATACATTTTGCTTCTAAATATTACTGAATTACCAAGCGAGGCTAACTGTAACCTTTCCGAAGATTGCGACTCTGTATGGGCAATTTTGTTGAAAGCATGTATATATCTACAGCTGGTTTTTAATTAGCTCAACTAATCAGCGCCTAGCAACCTTCTTCATTTAAATTTAATGCCTGACCAGAGATAGGGAAAGAATGCATAAAACACTCCTAAGATAATTTTAGTGGAAAAATTGCAGTAACGTTTTTGACACTGCTGTTCGCTCTGAGTTCAATCTCCTTGTATCCCTTCCAATGAATACAACTTGAATTTTTAGTTGATTTATCAGTAGGCAATAGCATGCAATGCCGAATTTATCCGCGTTTACACTACATTAAATGTACCAGCACAGCACTACTGTAATTGGAACAAGTTGCAAAGTTTTCTCGTCCAAAGTTCGAGCAAATATGAAAATGGTAGGACACATGATGGGCTTATATCGGTAGTATTGCATGATTTATAATTTAATAGAGATTTAATAAGCTACTGTATAAGTTGTTTGTTCAAATGATACTGATAATCTGGAGACAGTAAGACATCCACAAATGCACGCTGATAAACTTACCAACAAACGCTGCTTATTCTTGAGATGCACTTCGGGACACGACCTTGCATAAAATGAAAAACGCACTTTGGGATTGTGCTATTTCTAGTATTAAATTATTCATGACGTGTCGCATCTCTTAATTGTAAAGGAAAAATGTTTCGTGAAGCATCACACCCCACAACAGGACATCGAGTGATTTTTATACAATTTGTCGACACAATGCCTCCGGATCTTTGTCATGAACGCAGCTTTGTGATTTTATGGTTCTTTATGACTTTTTTAATTGATCAAATTTGCATGCGCGGAATGTCATTATAATTAATATACTGCTTTACAATGATAAAAATATTGAAAAAGTTAAGTATTGAATGCAAATTATGTGCAGCAATAGTTTCATAATAGTATTGCAACAAATATCGTCTTACGCATAACCAGACGGTCAGTTTATTTTGTAACTTATACAAACAGACCTCGCAGATAAACTCCAGGGGCCGGTTGTTCGAAAGGCGATTAGCTTGAACGGGGGATAAGTTCAAAATAGAAAACAAAATCTATCTATTTATTGAACTACTGAACTGAAATATTTCGATGTAAATAGTTCAATTTTCAATGGAAGTAGATATTTAATGCATAAGATGCAGATTCAGTCATTCAAAAGATCTGTGAGAGTATTCATAATCTTTGGCTTATCCACCGTTTAAGCTAAACGCCTTTCGAACAACTGGTCCCTGCATGATATGATATTAACATGCAGTACCAATATAAAATATCTTGATAGGAATATAAAGATAGCTAAGCGAAAACCCATGCAATGCACTAAAATGCCAATATGACTGATATAACGGAGGTGTGTATTGCATAAGATCAGATATTCACAACCATAAAACATACGATATTAGAGTTTGGTATTAAAACGATCGATAACTTGCCATGCAGTGGGGTAATAATGCCCATTAAAAGTTTATTTGTTGGAAATAATAAGGTATAACTTGTTACGTGTAATGGTCATATTAGCTAAGTTTGTGTCTCTCATAGTGAGAACAATTAGCCACTTAAAAGGAGATATATGAAGTTATAATTTATCTAGCTGCATATAATATATCACAGATAAGTAATACTACATACACGCACGCAACCGTTTCGGCATGAATTATGAAACATTTTTATACAACCGCAAACTAATTAATATAGTTATATAATTTATAATTCCTACGCATTGAACGAGGGCAGAGACAGTGTGATATGGCATTCTCAGCTGGTCAATAGAAATTAGGGTGTAGGTAATCTACAGTCATGAAGTTCAAAATTGTTAGACGTAGTTTAATGGACATATGACGAGAATAGCGATAATGGACATAGACGA